GGGAGTGAATGACAGCTTACGTTTATTATATAGCGCTTTAAGGAGAAACCTTTTGGACTAGAGCTCTGTAAAGGGGCAACATGTCATTGATAAATACCAGACCCTGTAATCGTATGGACTCTCCCTTTCTTCTGGAGGAGGGGGAAAAATTGGAATCCCAATGTCCCAGTGACTTCTTGTTCTTCAATCCAGGTGGAAATCTATAGCAGGCTTTGTATGTAGATAGCTTTTTCAAGCTGCCTTTGCAATTTCCGTAGCCCAGTCCCACAGAACAGACTTGACTTTCCTTATTTACCAAGGGATAGGAGATTCACGTCACTGGGAACACTTCCACTTCTCTTGGAATCAATTAGTCTGCATCCTAAGATATCTACTACTCCTTTCTCTGAGTGGGGGCAAGAGGGAGCAAAGACACTTTTTTTGCACCTCCCCCCTTTTTTGGTCTCTAATTTTGCACCACATGCCCACCTACGGTTTGCATGAATAATACTCACGCCAAATCATACTCAGGGGCTTGAAGAGTGGAGAAAAGGAAGAAGGCACAGTACACCTCAGTCCCAAGACCTCCCCCGGGGTTCCCCTCACAACGCATCTTCGCTACAAGCATTTTTCCCCACTAGCTATGCAGGATGAAAAGAATGCAGTCACACAGCTGTAAAAAAGTATATACCCCAATACTGTTTGCTCAATCACGGGGGAGGGGAGAAGCTATACTTGAAGTAAGTGGAAACTCCTTACCTAGTTCGCAGAGTCTACTAAGGTGGTGAGGGTTGCAGCAGACCAGCTCCGGGTTGTTCTTCCCGTAAGATTCACAGCAACACAACCTCTTGACTTCCGAGGAATGCCTGAGATCTGGCCACCTGAACACTTTGCACAACAATAAGGGGAGCGAGTAAGACGACGGCGGAGGCTGAGGCTGGGTAGGCTGAGTCTGGAGAGGGGACGCGGGCGGCCCCTGCCCCAGCGCCAGCCTGGAGTCCACTCTGCCAGGCAGGAGGAGGCAGGCGGTGCGGGTTCCCCCGCGGGACTCCACCGCCTGCAGCAACAACTCCAGCTGCCGCTCCTTCAGTTTCTTCAACACCGAGTGTGTTAGCGCCTTCAATTCCGCCTCCGAGCCCCCGGCAGCGCCGGTGCCCAAGGAGGGGTGGTGGTGATGGTGGTGGTGGTGACCTTTGGCACCTTTGACCGACTTGCCCAGGCAACAGCCACCCCTACCAGCGCCTCCGCCTCCAGCCCCATGCGCCCGGCTGTCCGTCGCCCCTTCCCCCCTCGGCTCCCCTCCTCCTCCTCCGCCTCCGCCTCCTCCTGCGCCCTCCTCCTCGTCCTCCCCGCCGGGCGCACGGCTCCTCCAGAGACGCCGGACGAGCACCGATCGTTTGGTCCTGAACATGCGGGACGAGGAGGCGAGGAGAAAAGTCGTTTCCCGGCTAAGGAGCGAACATGACCTCCGCACACCATGAAGAATTTGGGCACCGAGTTGGGGCAGCAGTCGCAGGCGGCAGCAGCAACAGCAGCAGCAGCAGCAGGAGCCCGGGCAGGAGCGGCAGCGGCAGGAGGGACGCTCCGTAACATGCGCCAGTCTCTCGGAGCCCGGAGGGTGTGGGGGGGTTTGGGGGGGCCTGGCAGGGGAGGGACGGCTCCTCTCCGGCTTCCCCACCCCGCTCCACTGGCACCCGATTCAGGTCGTCTCGCCTAGCCTCGCAGAGGAAACAGACCGGGCTGACCAAGGGAAGATACAAAGAAAAAGGGAGAAAAAACGGGGATTCAGGAGGGGTAGTGCTCCCTTCTCTCCTCACTGCCCCCCAAACGCAGAACGAAAAGGAGTAGCTTTTGAATGTCAACACCTCCAGCCTCAGCCCCTTACTGAGGCTAAGAACCTCAGGAAAAAGAAAATTTAAGGTTTTGTTTCGTTGATTGAATCAGGAGAAAATGTTCTTTTCTCCTTCTCTAAGCAACTTAATTTGGGGGTTAGAAGCTGGCAATTAGAAAAAAAGGCAGGCACGCGATTTAATTTTTTTTTTTTTGCACTATATCCTTAGTAACCGGATCTCCACGAATTCCATCCACACGAAGGTTCGGGGGAGGGGAAGAAAGTGAATTTCACCCCGCATGAGGTGCCGGGCTAAAGAATTATTTTTCAATTAAAAGTGGGGGAGCCCAAATATTCTAAATAAAAATTTAAAACAATCACCACTGCAAGGCGCAGCCCTGGGGACGTCCGGTTGTATTGGAGTCTAAAAAAAATTAGGAAGGGCGAAAAAAACGTTTACAAAGTATCACACAAAAAAATTTGGTGAAAAAAAATGTATCCACAAGTTAACATCCTTTTTTTTTCTTCTAGGACCTCCGTTCGTCTTCCTCTTCTTTTCTTCTGCCAAAGATATACACATATGTGTATATGTATCTTTTTTTAATCCAAAGAAAGCTTTGAATCGGCTTCTTCCACCATGCTCGTCTGATTATTATTTTAAGTGAGTCTCTCGTCTTTCCTCCCTCCTACACCACCCCAGCGAAAGAAGAAAAAAAAAAACAAAGAGCCACCCACTCCCCCCCTCCAAAAAAAAAAATACACCAGCCTTCACTGGCTCTCCTGGTTTTTCCGAGGTGGATCTCCGAGAGATAGCCCTGCTTCCCCCTCCGCGACCCCGTCCCCACTTCCTCCAGGCCCCACGGCTGGCAGGAGGGAGACGAGAGAAAATACAGATCTGAGAGGGGGTGATGCCGAGGCTGACAGGAGGTGAGACTGGCGTCGGCTTCGTTCTCTAGCTCACAGGCTGGCTGGCTCTCTCTAGCAAACGCTACTGCGGCCGTGGCTTCCTCCTCTCGGGGTTGCTCCTCGCCCAGGCTCCTCGCCTCGGCTGCAGACACGCAAGCAAGCAGGAGGAGGAGGAGGAGGAGGAGGAAAGATCAAAAAAACGCACGGCAGGCAGTCGCTTGTCTGGGCTCTGGGCTCCCTCGAGGGTGGCTGCTTACTTTCCGCCTCCTTCTCTTCTCCTCTGGCCTCTCCGACTTTTATTTTCCTCCCAATGCGCCGGGCAGCAAAGCAGCAAGAAAAAAAGCTTGGGTTCCCTTCTTTTCTCCTATTTTCTCCTCCCTTTTTTTTCCTCCTTCTTCTGGGGAGGGAGGGGACCAGCAGGCTTTGCCTTGCAAGAGGAGGCAGAGGGGAATTTTTTTTTTTTTAATGTGGGGTGTCCTTCTTCTTAGTCTTTGCCTTTGGCTTCTGGAGCTGGGCTCCGGTGCTTTGCAATCCCGAGGGGAGGGTAAGACTCCGGGAGGTCGAGGGGGGCAGTGAGGGATCCGAACAGCTCCTGCCTCCAGCCTGTATTGGCTCTCACCTCGCTCTACTCGCGGACCTACCTCCCGTGTATGCGCGTATGTGTGTATGTATGTGTGTCTGAAGCTCGCCGCCTCCTGCACACACTCTCTCCCTCCCTCTCACCCCCCTTCTTCTCTTCCTCCTCCTCCTCCTCCCCCGCCCCTCCTCCTCCTCCTCCTTCCCCCACACCCCCCTCCCACTTCTCCCTGGCTCTCTCTGCTTCGCTGGTTCCACTGCGCAGTGGCGCGCCCGGCTCCGGCCTGGACACGTGACCGTCTAGACACCCTGTCGCTTTAAAAAAAAAAAGCGATTGTGTTTCGCAAACAACAGATCGGGTTTCTAAAAGCTATTTCTTTTTCTTCTCCTTACCAAACCCTCCCTCCCTGCTTTTCTTTCCTACTCCCTCCTCCTGAATTCTGGGGAGAGAGAGGGAGAGAGAAACAGAAACTGAGGAGAAGGAAGAGAAAGAAAGGAAGAAAAGAGGAGGTGGAGAGAAAAAACCCAATTCCCTATGTATGTGTGTGCGTGCGTGCGTATAGGTATCTATCTAGCTAGCTAGCTATATACTATATATAAAATGAGGTTGGCTGGAAGAGTTACAGCAAAGAGAAAATCTTAAAAGCAAAACCAAAAAAAAAAAAAGACTCAAGAATGGGGTTGCATCAGCAGACTAGTCTGGGTGTTGATTGCCCCTGTACAATACAGGATTTGCGCATCCCCCCCCTATCTTTCCTCTCCGCTTCCCCCCACCCCAGTTCATTCATTTAAAGAGAGTCCTGACCGTGAGATCTATTGGGTTTGTTGCGCAGCAGCCTCCGGAGGGAGGAGGGGGGAGCTCTGTCCTCTTTTAAGAAGACATTTAAAACTAGACTGGACTGGAGCCCCAGGAAGTCTACACTGGAGGGGAACGAGCAGAACTCTGGCCAAGGGGTGGGGAGCCGGACGAGAATGTGACCTCAGTCCTTTCTCGCTCCCCTCCACGCTCTTGTTTCGGTGATTACATGGGAAGTGTGTATTGTGAACAGCTCTGGAATGTGTTTAGGGTTGTGATGTGTAGAGTGGGGCTTGTACCGGATCTTGGCAACTCCCAACACGAAGAGGTGGGTGAATGGAGGGAAGAAGGGAGGCAGTGCTGGAGGTAGTGACCTGCAGATTTCTTATTTCGTAAGTAAATATGTAGACAGAACATTGAACCCCACCAACACATCTTAACCAAAGGTTGAATCGGCTGCCTTGAAATGTGTGGCTCTTATGGAAGAAATGCATATAGCAACATATGCCCTTAGTGACATGGATGATGATGGCTTCTCTTAGATATTATGATGCTGAGGATCAAGAATTTTATCTTCTCCATACTTCCTCAGTACGTCAACTAGCAGCATTTATTGAGCGCCTACGATATGCCAGACACTATGCTAAGTGTTGCAGACACCGAAAACATAAAGTGCTATTTACTCTTCGACTATCTAGGCAGTCAGCCCTAATAAATGTGCAAATTGGTGATAAGAGTGAGGAACTGAACATTGAGATGATTTTTCCCCCTTTTTGAACTGGACCTTTGATCGTATCTGGGTAGGGAGCTTCCTGGAAGGAATTCCTACTTCCATCGAAGATCAAGCACCTTCTCTGCAATTTAGAAAGTTGCCTGGGGCACTGAAAGGTTAAGCGACTTGCCCTGGGTCACACGGAATTCAGAGAATCTTAATAAAATGTTTATACAAGACAAATGTTCTATTCAATTCAACAAACATTTGCTCCAAGTGCAGTTTGGAGGGGCTTTTTAGGATACAAAGACAAATATGAGAATATTTTCTACCCTCAATGGGCATACATTCTAGAGGGGAAAAATAATGACATAGATAAGGAAATAATAAATATGTATTAGATACAAAGAAATGTCAGGCTGTGGAGGTCTGCAAAAAGCTTGGGGAAGGGAATCAGAAAAGATCCTTTTGGGGAGGTGACAGTTAAGTTGATATTTTCAAATTCATATACAAACATTAATGCCTAGTATTTATTGATTAAAAAAACTAGCATGCTTGACATATATTGTCGAGTTGTGTCTGACTTCCTGATCCCATTTGGGGTTTTCTTGGCAGAGATTCTAGAGTGGTTTGCCATTTCCTTTTCCAGCCCATTTTACAGATGAGGAACTGAGGCCAACAGGGTTAAGTGACTTGTCCAGGGTCACCCAGCTGGTAAGTACCAGATTTGAACTCATAAAGATGAGTCTTCCCGAGTCTAAACCCAGTGCTCTGTCTACTGCGCCATCTAGCTGCCCGATAGACATATACAGGGAGCAAATAGCAATATGAGTTTTTAAAAAGTGAACATTCAAAACGGGAGAATTTCATCTAACTGGACAAGAAATGTAAACTTTAAGCTGTTATTAGCAGGAATTTTATATCTCCCTTGCTAGACTGTTAACTACTTGAGATTAAGAGATTCTCTCAGATATTTTGGTAACTTCAAATTGCCTTCAACATAGAAGGGTGGATGACTGAATAAGATGTGAGTAAAAAAACTAAATAGCCAAAACACTTTATCCTTTTAGGTTGTGTGATCAACCTCTAACAGAGATCATTAAACACATTTCTGAAGGATGGGTTCAAGAACTGGGAAACTGAATAGGTATATCAGTCTATAGAATGCCTAGATGCTGATAAAGAACATGTTTCTCTAAACTCTATACTTTGATTAAACTTTTCATTGAAAATAGGAAAAGTATACCCTCTCATTGTGGAAAGAACCCTGGATTTGGATTCAAAAGACCTGAATTTGAATCTCAGGTTTGTATCACTTTGCACAAGTCTTTTCTTCTCTGTTTCATATTTTCCCCATCTGTAAATCCCTAAGGTTCCTTGCAACTCCAAGGTGTAATGAAATACATTGGCATGTATGGGGCAGCTAGGTGGTGAAGTTAATAGAGTACTGGACCTGCAGTCAGGAAGATTCATCTTCCTGAGTTCAAATCTGACCTCAGACACTTAGAAGCTGTGTGACCCTGGGCAAGTCACTTAACCCTGTTTGCCTCCGTTTCCTCATCTATAAAACAAGCTAGCAAAAGAAATGATACTCCAGTATCTTTGCCACCCCAAATGGAGTCACAAAAAGTCAGCCACGACTGAACAACAACAAAGTTATGTATGAGTTTTAATCAGAAACCTAGCTAAGTTACACACACAGGAAATGGAGATGGGAAGGAAGAATCTGGACCTTGACAATTCAGATTTGTCAAGAAGACTGGAATACTATTCTTGAGGGTTCAGGAAAAAAAAATAAGGCAAGTTCACCTTCCAAGGCAGCCCACTATGGGAAAGAACATTTGCAGTCTACATTCGTTTCTAATTAGTTATAACTTGGGCAAGTCAGTTCACCTTTTGGTCCTTGGTTTTCTCATCTTTTTATATACATTATAAGACATTGGACTAACTTATTTCTGAGGTCTTTTCCCAGTTCTAACATTTTGTGAGACTGGCAATCACATGTTAGGATGGAATTTAATAAATAGAAAACAAATGTCCTAGCTCTAACGTATTTCTTGGCTAACTTGAGAATCTTAACAAAAAATGTTTCCTCATTTCAAAAAGTTTGGAAAATTGTGTTAACTTTTCTTCTATACATCATCGAAGTGGCAGAGTAGAGAGTGCTAAAGTTGGATTCAGAAACACCTGGGTTCAAATTCTATCCTGAATATTTGCTAGTAGTGTGACCCTGGGCTAGTCATTTAATCTCTCTCAGACTCAATTTACTCATCTACAAAATGGGTATGATAATAGCACCTACTTCATAGGGTTGTAGTGAGGATTAAATGCTGTATTATTATGTCAAGGGCATGGCTAGATAGCACACAGGCGTATGTGCCATTTATGTCCTAGTCTAATGGGGTTTTTTGTTGGGAGGGGGCGGGGAAGGGAATTTTATTTCCCTGCCATAAGAAACTCCTGATGAAGAAATTGCCACAACCAAAGCAAATTGGCACCTGCCCTAAAATTTCTTGTTTTAGGGAGTTGTCTGGGGGACTAAGAGGATAAGTAGCTTCCCTGGGGTCAGATAGCCAGTATGCATCACATGTCAGAGGTGGAACTTGAACAGAGTTCTTCCTAAGAGGTCATTTTTTGGTCACCTATGTCACACCGCCTTTCTTTCTCATTTATACTGTGTTTTAATCTAGACTTTAGGTAGGTATTTCATCCTGATCATTGCTTCTCCCTTT